TAGTAGAGTTTTAGTTTTAGTTTTAGTTTTAGTTTTAGTTTTGAAAATTCCTAAATAGTTTCGGATAGCAACATTATACTAAATGCTAAATATTATCAGATATAATAACCAGCTTGCCTTATAAGCATTGGTCTATCATAGTATACAAAAATATAGTTAAAGATCATGAAGTAGCTGAAAAAAGAGCTACAAAGGCAAAGCTTCTGGAAAAATATCAAAACAAATGTATGTTTCACATATCTAACTAACTTAACTTGAATGAAACTGAAATTAATGAGGCTAAGGAATTGTCATAGTTAGATTAATGATATTACGCTTAAAGTTATTATATTTTTTTTGTTAAAATAATTAAGCTATTTCCTGCAATACAAAAGGTATAAAGGAGGGGTGATTAATAGACCGTAAACTCTGCTTACTTTATGAAATTCTTTTTGGGTATTTGATATAATTGAATGATCGAGAGACTCTAGATAATCTAAAAAATTCATCTCGAATAATATATTGAGATAAGATATCTTGATAATATCTATTAAGTCCACAATTATGTTTTAAATTTTGAGGGAGGTATTTCTTTATATAATCTATAAAATTAGATTTCATTCGTTAAAAGAAGCATCTTCTAATAACATGACCAACTTTTAGGAACCACTCAAATTATACAAGATGACTAAAATGACCATCTCTTTCATGTAGATATATAAGGATTTATTTCATAATTTATTTATACTGTAGTATTTATTAATTTCAGCATTATTATTATTATTATCAAATAGATGAAAAAGGATATTATCACAAATGCTGGAAATATTAATAAATTCACTTTTTCTTTTTTTCTGAATAACATATATGGATACAGCATTCCATTGGTGGCTTACTCTGATACAATTCCTATAGAGATCTTTCCTATTGAGAAAGTCAAAGATAACTTTAAGCAATTCAGGTATTTCTAAGGCAAGCATTTATTAACAATTTATTTTTTGATTGAAAAAATTGCAACAGTTTCGCAGTATCACGTTTTACAAAATCAATCTACGATTTGATAATTAACTTCTAACCCATGATATAACACAGTAAAACTTCCCAACTGTCAAGGCTATTTCGGATTTCTGTGATCCAAATACTTCATACCTGGGCTTGTTTTGAAGCTCTCAGTGTCCTGCATCTAGTCAAATTGCTTTAGGATTTCTACAACTTATGAAGCACGTTTCATAAGCGAATGAAGTTTCAATACTCATATAGTGTAAATAATATATTAGAGGACTTACCTCCTTTTTCTCATATTCATTCGAAAAAAGAAAAGCTATCTTGATAAGCTACCAGATAAACAAACAGGGCAGACAAATAGGATAGACAATCTTCTGCAATGCCAAAGGTGCAAAGGATGTGATTATGTCTAAAATAATTGACCTTACATTTCTCGAAATAACTCTGCATCCAGTGATCTGATTTTCACGAAATTTGAGATGATAGAAGTTCAGAACCTGCCAAATCCAGTCGTGTAATCCTCATCAAAATTGGTTGATGAGCTATTCACACATTATCAGGGAATTCTTGCTGAGATTTTTTTCTGACATATCTGCAGATTATGCAGTAATACGCATATGATTTATTTTTAGTGCATTGAGTACGTCATGTATTTTTACTTGAAAGTTCCAAAAGTTTCAAAAATTATAGGCTAACCCTTTTCTTTTTTAGAATCTAGTGGGTAAAAAGAGGTATTTTGCAAATCGTAAGATAAGACGTTGTTAAAAAGAAATTCAAAAATGGAAATAGAGTGATTAGAATTTATGATTTATAGATCCTTGAGTAAACAGTATATTTTTATTATCCTACTGATGTTAGTGCATTCAAATTAAATGTATGACTAATTATACATTAATCTGTTTTTAAATAGGAATTAGTGATACATATCCATAACATGTGCGATTCATCATTTACAGATCTCAATCCATGATAAGCAAATATTTCGTTTTATATTTCTTTTTTGTAATTACAATTGAAATAGGGGATGGGCAATAGTATTCATTCTACAAGAAATTAATGGTAAATTTTGTTATTATCAAGGCCATTATAATTGTTTTAGATAGAAAAATTGATTAATATTATTTCTGTGATTTGGGGTTGATCACTTTGATTTTTCTTGATTCAGATCTACCTTTAGCCAAAGGGTCAGGATAATCGAAACCAACTTTCATATGAATGATGTTTTTTTATTAGGTGCAATAATTGACATTTTTTTTGGCATATAACAGGTTTGTCGTAAAAAAAGGTGAAATTGAAAATTGAATTATAAATACTGGCTTTTATTAATCATGGATAATCCTTATAGAGATATGAAGGATATTAAGCTTACTTGTCATCTTGTTCGAAACTTTGAAGAAATTTTTGGATGTTTCATTCTCACTAAAAAATTAACTCTAACGATTATGTTAATTCTCTTAAAGATAAAATCTATGAAGTAATCAAGCAGAAAAATAATATTTTCTCCGATATTAAGGCTGATTACTTAATGCTATGGAAAATACAAATTCCTAATGATGATAAAAACAGATTTTCAAGCCTTGAATTACAAAAAGATGAAAAGAAGTATGTAAAGAAACTCAGAAAAATTATTAGCAATTATTAGAATGGTGAGAAACTTCCGAAAGTAGGATATATTCATGTTATTATCAATTCACTATTGATGAGAGCAAATCAACAGATGGCAAATTTGGCAATTAATCAAGGTAGGTCTAATTAATCTTAGCAATGTATTTCTTTATTAAGACATGATTGTAATTTTAACATGCTCTATGTATGAAGAAATGACCAAAATTATTCTTCATAGCGTCATTAGAAGTCTAGATACTTGTGACTTTTTCAAGATAGAAATAGAAAAAAATGAACATATTATCAATCTTAAGGGGATCATTATAAAAAAATATTATAAGTCCTTTTCAGATAATGATTTATATGGCATTAGGTTATGGAAAGTGGAAGTATCCTTTGAAAATAAAGCAATATTTGATAATCTCAAAAATAATAAAGAGGCCAGTGCCATTAGGATAATGTTAAACGGTGAGGAGCAATATAGATTGGAAAAGATTGAAAATACGTTTGGAAACCCACCTAAAACTATTACAATTTTGTCATTTAAGGTATTTGTGATCTAAAAGACAATGCCATTATATCTATAATAGCATATTAATATTTTCTTTTTTGATTGATAACAATTTAGGTTATTGAAGAGAGGCCTTGATAATCATTTAAATTACATGAAATCTGATTTTCATATAAACAACGTAAACAACGAGAATGCAGGTGAAAATGG